GGAGCCACCTGTAGGCGAGGGCGCCTCCCGCTCCCTCGGGCGGCATTCTAGGCCGCTCCGGCTTGGGCGCATTCCGAGCCAGAGCCCTGAGCATCAGAAACCTCGCGGGGCCTCACGCCCCGTGCCCATCACACCCCCACACTGCACAGATGTAGGGGGGAGCCGCTGCGGACGCAGCCGTGGCCTTTGGTCGGGGGTGGCTTCCGAGGACCTGAAGGAGTTTGCCTGAATGAAGTTGAGAGTGGAGAGGCGCTGGACAGCAGCCCAGGTCTCCCCTCCCAGGCTGCCCTAAGGTGCGGCCCTAGGGATGGGGGCTGAAAGGAGGCCGGGAACCGGACCCCAGAGCGCAGGTGGAACACAGTAGATCTCCTCCTGGGCATTTACCTTTGAGAAACTTGAACCAGTTCTCCAGCGGCACAGCGCAAGATTGTGCCGGTGGTTGATAGCAAAAGTCCTTGGAAACACCCCCGATGTCCACAGTGACTGAGCAAAAACTAGGGCAGTCACATCAGGGACGGTACTAGAGCAGAGAAACAACCTCAGGCAGCCGTACAGCTCTCTCTCTCTCTCAGGATCTGTTAGTGAAGAAAGATTGCAGCACTCTGCACGCACTATGTGGTAACTTGTAGAAAAGTTAACAAAAAGCACAACCCCAAATAGGTGTCTAGACACGTTTGCAGAAAAAGTGAGGCATGGATGAGCACAAGTTGAAGAATGGTTCTCTCTGGTCAGTGGAAGCAGGTGTTGACACAAGCTATGGAACCTCTGTCGTCAGAGACGGTACGGATGGAGGGGAAATGCTCTGAAAAAACTTTCCACGCTAACTTATGTTGTGACCCCCCCCCTTTTTTGTCTAATCGTAATATCAAAATATTCTGAGCAACCTTCAGCTTACAACTGGATTGCCTCAGCTGCATAAGGTGTTGCCTGGCCCTGACAAGCAAGCACTGCACTAGGGTGAGACATTCCTCTGAAGTCAAAAGTGACTTGACAACTGGCTGATCAATAAAAGCAAATAGGCTGCTTCTGTAAAGTCTCTCACTGCCTGATGTAGGAAAACCCAAATCTCATCACTCTACTATCTCACCTAGCCTTCTATTCAGTTTCTAAAGAATTACTCAAACTTACTACTGTCTGGCCTTTAGATGTGGAAATTCATCCAGGTTGCCTGTTTTAGAGCTAACCAGGTTTTCTACCTGTTACACGTCAAAGGAATACACACAAGTCTTCTGGCTAGTCTTTCAGGATTCTACTACCTAGTCTTTAGATAAGGAAATTAACCTATGTCTCCTATTCAGAGCTAATTATGCTTTCTACTGTCTAGACCTCAAGGAAACTCACTAAAAACTTTCTAACAAATTTCTCCAAAGAAAACTTTCCAACAAGTTTCTCCAAAGAAAACTTTCCAACAAGTTTCTCCAAAGAAAACTTTCTAACAAGTTTCTTCAAAGAACTTTTCCGTAATTTGATTTGCAAGAAATTTCCTCTTCCTGCCTCCCAGGATGTCTCAGTAGATAAAAAACCCATTAAGTAGTAGATAAGGTTTAAGGGACTTTAATATTACTATAGTAAAGATTAACTAAAGTAGTCTTAAACTTTGTGCATCTATGTACCTCTTTTAACCTTGATTGATTTTAGAATGTTATCTCAAGTAAAGGTCAAAATGGGCCCTCCCTGGTGGCGCAGCGGGTTAAAGCACTGCACTGAGAAACTAAAGCCACTTCCGCGTGAGTTCGATCCCCACCTGCCCCGGAGGTGGCCACATGGCGCGGCAGACCTCTCCTGACCCGCCCGCTGCTCCCCTCAGCAGTGTACTTCGTCGATCTGCCTGTTCTGCTTCCCGCTCTGTCT